TCTGTGAGGGAACGGGGCCCCCCACCCCCGGGCTCTCCCTGCCCCATGGGAACTTTCGTGAGAGAGAAGCAGAGGGAGTTGCTTCTGGTTTTCCCTTTTCTGGCCCTGAAGTTTCCTGGTTCTGTAAATGCAGCTGAAAAGGGAGCTTTAAGAATTAATGAGATGCCATTCAAACAAACATATGAACAAACCAACCTAATTACCTCCCCCCAAAAAACAAAAAAGCAAAAAAATTTTAAAAAGAATTGGAGATGCCCAATGTGATTTTCTTGTTTTAATTTCACTAAGTGAAATCTCTTTATCTCATAAATTTTGCACTTGGATTTTTTTAATTCACTTTTCTTAAAGTGCAGACTTCATGTTAAATTCCAAAGTGATTTTATCTTAAAGTGGAGGAGAGGGCGTAACCCCAGCCTGCAGGACGGCGTCACTGCCCCGAGTGGCCGGGGTGATCCCACCTCCACCGGCCCGCGTGGGGCGCCTCTGTCCCCACGTGCCCCTGGGAGGCGGGCGGGGGTGCTACCACTCCTGCTTAAAGAGCAGGGGTTAGATGACTTGCCCGAGACCCTCAGTCACGGAGTGTGGAGACGAGGTCGGCTGCAAAGCCCGCCTGGCTCGACCCACTGCCCAAGGTCAGGAAAGGACGGCCACTGGGAGGGGAGGCGGCGGGAGAAGGCCACACTCTGCAACCCACTCACGTCAGCCTCCGTTCTGCACGCACCCTTCAGACCCTCATCCATGTGGGAACTGTGGTGAGCTCTGCAGAGTCTGCGTTTCCAGGCAGTACTGTCCCCGATGCGGGCTTCCAGGTCTGTCTAAGGACCATCACTGCCGTCTTAGGAGCTGTGGTGTCCTGCGTGGGGAGGACCACCAGTCCCGGGGCTGGGTGCCAGCCCTGAGGCATCGGGCCAATCCCAACATTTCTGTTAAAGGGAGAGCATTAAGTACACACACACACGCACACAAAAGCACACACAAGCACACATGCGCACACACACACTTTCCTCCAGGCACGTTGTTTCTTTGGGATGAATCACTTGGAAGGAATCACTGGGCAAATGGCTGAAAACCTCTCTGGTTTTGTCGTTATTTCCCGTCTTTCGGGAAGGACGTCACCACCCTCATTACACTTTCGTTCCCCTCTCAATAGAAAAGTTACAATCTTTCTAGAAAGTGAGAAATACTTAACTAGGCAAAAACAAGAAAATAAACACCGCCCATGGTCCCACCGCTTAGAGAGAAGCCCGCCGTGCGCGCTGGTGTGTGCATTCTTCTGGCGATTCCTGCGTGTGGGCGTTACCAGCCCAGCACGCCCCAGCGTGCCTGAGGGTCACCCACCTTGCAGGAGAGCTGGCATCAGTAACAGTGGGCCCCACGGGCCCCCCTCAGCCCGCTCCTGGTTCTGGGGCATGGGATGGCTTCCCCCTGAAGCCCCGGGCTCTGTGCGTCTGAGAAGGAGCGTTTACTGTCCAAGGGGACTTGTGAGAAAGGGGCGGGAGACTGAGGCTGAGGGCTCCCGGTAACTCCCCTGACCTACTTGGGCCAGAGCCCTGGGAGCCGCGAAGAGCTGAGTGCCCACATCCTTCTTAAAGGCCGCGGGGTCCCTGCTCCCTTCCTGGGGTCGGTACCAAGCCTGCTCCCACTGAGAAGCTCCATCGGCTGCTTGAGATGGACAAGCCTCGTCCGAAACCGCGAGCCTCGCTTGTTCAGACGGAAGCTCCCGCCTGGTCCAGACTGTTCGCTGCTTCTGTGGCCCTGCAGCCTGGGCCCCTCTCTTCACTTGATGCAACGGGGAACTAGTCAAGTGACAGCAGAACAGGAGCCTGGGACCCACAGCTGCATCTGCAAACAGCTCTCTGCACGTGCCTCGGGCTGGGACGACCAGCAGGAAAGGAGGACCCTCCCCACCTGAAGGGACGGCACCGGGGCCAGCCCAAGCCTGCAGCCCTGAGCGCTCGCCCCAGGCACGGTCCCCGCCGTGTCTCCACGCAGGGGAAACTCGTTCCAGGGGTGAGACGGAAAAGCGGGAAGGAAGGGAAGAAAAGAGTAATTTAAAGCTACGTGTATTCAGTGAAGATTTGACGCCTTTGGGTAGATTGTGTAGCGGGAACCTAAGACTCAGGTGAGGGCAGCAGTCCTGTCCTGTGTCCTGTCTCCTCTGCGGCCCCCCACTCATGGGCCTTCGTCACCACCTCCGCTTTGCCCGCAGGCGTTCCTTCCCCGCTGTCCCTGCGCCAGCGCTGCCCCCTCCGCCCCAAGCCACTCCCAGTCTTCTGGAGGTTTAGGGACTCCGACTTTCGGGGCCAAACCCTCTGGCCTTGCCTGCTGAGCCAACGGAAAGACTCCCAGCTGCTCCCAGACCCCCAGGCCCCTGCACCCCGAAGATGCGCTCAGCTTTCTCGCTGCCCGTTGTCCAGCTTTCCTGGCCTGTTTCCTAGCCCACCTGGACCTTCACCTTGACCACCCACACCTCCAGGAAAGCTGAGCTGAGTCTCAGAGCCGGGGATCCTCCCTCCCAAGGGTTCTCAGAGCAGCGCCCCTTCCTGTGGTCTCTGAAGGCGAGACCCAGGGCTCCATCTGTGTCTGGCCCCGGACTGCCTGCAGAGGGCCTCCCGTCACAGACATCTGACTGATCCTTACACAGTTTGGTTGATTTGAGAAGTAAATAGGCTAAGTTGATGGAACCAGAGCGAATGTGCTGCTGACTGAGTAACAGAGTCAACATAAAAGGGCATTTGGGTGCAAACACTGAGGGAGCCTCCGCACCTGCTCCTGTAAGTCGAAAATCATTTCCCAAAAGAGAGTTTGAAATTCCCCTCTGAGGTACATGTACAGATGGACACACACACACAAAACAAGACCGAATGTTAGTGAGTGTCTGACTGAGCGTTCTTCCATTTTAGTATTCTATCTCAAGTCTAGAAAAATGAAAGGCCACCCGGTAAAGATGTTGGAAGTGCGTGTTAGTATTTGTCAAAACACACCACTGCGTGTTCCGTTCTGCTGTCGGCTGGATAAACAAGTGTCCGCCTGGCCTCCTCTCTCTGCGCCCTAGAGAGCCCGTCTCATTTCCTCGCGTGCTGGGAAGGCGGTTCTCACGCGCCCTTCCCGGGGCTGGTTCTTGCTCTGAACCGCCGCAGAGGAGACGCCCGGGGTGAGGCTCTTTCCCGTGTTCACCTGCCCGAGCTCTAAAAAGAGAAAGGGAAAAGTGGGGAGAGCTGAGTGTTCCGTCCTGTGCTTTTGCATCTCCCAGGCTGGCGCCCTGGCCGCCCCCTCGGCGCTGCGTAGCTGCAGCGTGGGTGGCCTCTCCTCCGGAAAAGGCTGCTTTTGGTGAGAGGCTCCGGCTCCGCCCGCGGCCAAGGAGCGGATGCTCGCATGTTAACCTGTGACACTGTCGTCTCTGTTGCTTCCAGGCCCATGTGCTTTGTAAAGCAGCTCGAGATCCCTCACTACGGCTACAGAAATAACGTCCCCACGACCACGCCTCGCTCCAACTTGGCCAAAGAGCTGGAGAAATATTCCAAGACCTCGTTCGAATACAACACTTATGACAGCCACACTTACGGCAAGCGGGCCATAGCTCCCAAGGTGCAAACCAGGGATATATCCCCCAAAGGATGTGATGGTAGGAGGTGCTCACTCTTCTACGTGAGCGTCACGCTTGCCGTTGATAATGTTGTTATTGTGTATCCATTTCCTGCAAACTGATCCAGCATGTGGTCGCTTGCCGGGCACCGAGGAGGCACGCGCCCGGGCCGGGCCGGTGCCCGCGGCCCTGGGTCGCACCCGGTGTGGGCGCGACAGGGCTCGGTGGAGGGAGGCGCACCCTTCCCTCA